CCCAAACCAGGGAAGCCAGGATCTCCAGAAGCCCACGTCTCCCGGGGCCGGGTGGGCACTCTGGTCCAAGTCGGCCCGAGCCTCCCGGAGCCCGGCGCCTCCAGTGAGAGACTAGCGCGGCCTTGGCCGCAGCGCAGACCTGCCCGGGCCTTGCTCGGCCGCAGGAGGCCTGATTGTGAGCTGCGCCTGGCTGGCCCTTCCGCTTCCAGGTCGACTGGACCTTGGGGAGTCGGAGCCAGCAACGCAAAGCTTTTCTGCCTCTGCTTCTTCTCTTCTGGGGGAGCCTGCCCTGCGGTGCCCCTCCACTGATGCATCCCCTTCGGCCTTTCCTCATCCCTCTCTCCGCTCGCAGCGTCAGCCTCGCTGGCCCCTGGCGATGGGTGGCTCTACCCTCCCTGTCTTTCCCCCAAGGATCTCTTCTCCCACATCACACTGACTTTTGCTGGGCTCTTCGGCCTGTAGAGCGGCTGGGACCTGCCGGGTAGATGCGTCTGTCTGGGAGGAGAGGCCTCTGTGCCCCAAGAGGGACCCCAAGTCCGAAACCCGCCTTCCCGAACCCCTTCTTTAGCCAGTGCTTGTATGCGGGAGCAGCAGGGCCAGTTTTCCCGTTTAAGTTCGATTGCGACGTCGCTCCTCGCCGCCTGGGACCTGCATCCGTTCTGTCGTTAATAATTCGTTTGAAGCGGGCAAAAAAATCCTTTTAGAACTAAAGAAAATGGAAGCATCTCCACGGGAAAGAGAAAAAAAAACGACAATTTCCAGGTTCACGGGTTGCTTTGGAATTTCCGGGAAGCACCCAACCCTAACCCAGACGACACCGGCCGCCTGCGCTGCGCTGCCCTGCCGCGTGGCTGTCGCTCCACGCACAGAGGAGCGACCGTGCACGCCATGCCTGCTCTGTCCTGAACGCGGCAATGCGCATCTTCGCAGCTCGCTGCCGTTTCCCGTTGGCCTCCCCTTTCCACGGGAGTCTCGGAGCTGCGAAGTTCGTCGTGGAGGACCCTGGGATCTCAGAGGCGGCTGGGCCTGGGGAAACAGGACAAAGCACGGGGTTGGCGAGGTCCCCTCTCCCAGACTCCGGGGACAATCGCGTTAGGGAGGGGCGCCCTGAGCGGGCAGCGCGAATCCATCCCTCAAGGCCAGGGGCCAGGCGGGGAGGTTTTGCCCTGGGCGACATTGGCACAGGAACCCCGCCGCACAGGGGGTGTCTGTCTCGAGGCGTAGGAGCCTAGCGGAGCTCACCCGTCTCCACTCTCTCCCTGCAGCAGTGCTGAAGGCTGAGCAGGCGGCGGTGTTCAAGTTCCCTCTGGCGCCGCTTGGCTGTTCTGGGCTGGGCTCGGCCCTGCTGGCGGCCGGGCCTGGGCTGCCTGGCGCGGCGGGTGCGCCGCACCTGCCGCTGGAGCTACAGCTCCGCGGGAAGCTGGAGGCGCCAGGCCCTGGGGAGCCAGGCACCAAAGCCAAGAAGGGGCGCCGGAGCCGCACTGTGTTCACCGAGCTGCAGCTGATGGGCCTGGAGAAACGCTTTGAGAAACAGAAGTATCTCTCCACGCCAGACAGGTAGTTCAGGGCCAGGCTGGGGCCAACAGGTGGCGGGAGGATGTCCCCTGCCCTGCTGAGGGAACACGCCCTACTCTTTCCAGAATAGACCTCGCGGAGTCTTTGGGTCTGAGCCAGTTGCAGGTGAAGACGTGGTATCAAAATCGAAGGATGAAGTGGAAGAAAATTGTGAGTGTGCCTGCGGGCTTGTGGCCTCAGCTTCCAGGGTCGTACCTCCTCCCCTCCACTCTCCTCCCCTTCACCCTACCGAGAATTCCTCCCAGACCTCTGATACCGGGGTGAGCTCCAGGACCTGCTTTGTTCTCTCCCTCCCTCTGGGTACCCTAGTTCAGCCAAGGTTTCCTCCTGACTCCCGCTTCACCCTCTGACCTGGCAGCCTTGAACCCCTAGGACCTGGGGCAGCCCCTCCCCAGCGCTCAAATGCCACGTTTCCCTGGGACCCAGAGCAGCCTCCGATGGCTTCCTTCGGTCCTTCTGTCCCACCTGGGCGGAGCGCCCCCGGGTCCTGGATCTGCTCTCCGGCTCACCTCCATGCCCGCTCATCCCCCTGCAGGTGCTGCAAGGCGGCGGCCTGGAGTCTCCCACCAAGCCCAAGGGGCGGCCCAAGAAAAACTCCATTCCCACGAGTGAGCAGCTCACGGAGCAGGAGCGTGCCAAGGAAGCAGAGAAACCAGCGGAGGTACCGGGCGAGGACTGAGCCTGCCAAGGGTGTGGCGAGGGCCCGCCGAGGGAACCAGCTCACAAGCTCTTCCAAATCCACGCCGTCTGCTTTCTAAATGTTTTATTATTACCTTGAATGCGGACAATTGGGGCCAAACCAGGAAGGACACAGACTCTGAAGCCAGACCCAGGCCTCAGCGTGCTCCCGGGCTCTAACCTAGGAGAGTCCTGTGGGCTCTAACCTAGGAGAGTCCTGTACAGCAGAAGCCCCTCCACGGAGCCCCAAGGCCAGGCGCTCCACGCGCACTCCCACCGAGTTCCTCGCCCGCACCCCCCACGGCCTCGGCTGGACTCCCCAGGCCACCAGGCACACACCTGCTTTCCTGAGTCAGGCGGCAGTTGGGAACAGGCCACTACAGCCGAAGACGGGGGCTCCAGGCCTCCGGCCGTTCCCGATGGCGCGCCGGAGCCCTTACCCTCCTCTTGCGAAGATGGTGACATTTTTTCCAATAAAATATTTTATGACACACTGGGCCTTGGTGCATCGGCTTCTGAACTCGCGAGGGGTGGGGGACCGGCAAGGTAAGACTGGCTCTCGTAGCTTTTTAAATGTTTTCTAGATGGCACTGGCCAGAGAGAGACTGAGAAGGAATAGGGAAAGCCCCCCCACCACTCCACCACCACAGCATCGTCAATCTCCCCCAGGATTCTGGGCACATACCCACCCGTACCCAGCCCAGCAGGATTGGAAACCAGTGGTTCCATGTGGTCGGTCTTAACCACCAGGCTACAGAGCAGACCATGGAGGGTAGCTTCTTTATATTTTTAAAACAATTATTTTATTTAACGTATTTATTTATTTTAATTTGACCAGAGAGAGACAGAGTGAGAGAGAGGGAACGTGAGAAAGCAACCAGGTCTGGACACACTGCAGTCGGCCACGTGGGAGTCCCGCACCCCCACCACCAGGCCACCTGGGCATCTCGGGTAGCTTCTAAGGCATCCTTTCCTCCCTGAGGAGAGCTGTGAGGACCTGAAGTACAAGGGCAGTAACATTGGGGTGTGGAGGGCACAGGAGTAAGAGCGGAGCCCCTGCACTGGGCTTCGCTTCGGAAGTAGCCTGAGGTCAAAAGCTGTCCTGGTTTGTCTGGTTTCCTGGGACTTGCAGGACTGATTGTGGGGTCCTTGAGACGGTTTTGACCAGCTCTCTGAGGCAAGCAGGAAGCGGAGAACAGGAGGCTTGTGTGGAGGCAGCCACCATGGGTGCTGACTGGCCTCTTGCATTTTCCCCTGTGTTCGTGGGTGGCAGCCTCCGGGCTGCTGAGTTGACTCCAGAAAGCAGGAGCACAGGGTGGACAGACAGCTCCAAAAGACTGGCTCCGGCCCCGCAAAGGGCAGCCTGGGGGTGCAGCATGTGTGGCTGAGGGCTCTGCCTCATGAGAAAGTCTGGGCTGCCTGTCTGCTGCCCAGGCTGAGTTCAGAACTAACTGTGGGTTTCCGACCTTGCGCTTTCTAGGGGGCTGCAAGGTAGGGGGTGGGAAGACTGCTGCTTTCTGATTAAAGCCCAGGAAGTCAAAGAAAAGACGTGCAGAGTTCCAAGCAGGACCAGGATTTGGTTCTGGGCCCTTCCAGACCCAAACAGAAGGGGAAGAGAGTCAGAGACATCCCAGCTCAGTCCCAGGCTTTGCGTTCAGATTGTGGAAACGGACCCCATGGCCCTCACCTGCAGGCCATGATGTCCTTCTCCTATGGGCTTGACGGTCCCTTCCAGAACGTGCACTTGAACTTCCCCACCCTGAGCAGCTCTGGCCTCAAGGCCTGAAGATCTCTCTCTCTCTGTCTCTCTCTCTCTCTCTCTCTCACACACACACACACACACACACAGAGTATTTTCTGAGGGCTGCAGGCAGCTCTCACCCAGCCCTGCTGAATCTCTGGGAAACCAGCTCTCCCTCCCTCAGGGCATTTAACTTGGCCTGGCAAACAGCTTGAAGAATAGTTGTCTGAGTCTTCTGAGGACTCGGGAAAACTCCACCTGGAAGGAATGAATCATTAACGTGCAACTGCGCCCCCTAATTCCTTCCGGCCCTTGGGGTTACCTTCTATCCCAGGGCAACTCAGCCTAACAACCTCCCCCCAACTTTCTTGCACCGGCCTGGGAAGCCTACTGACTTACGCAGTTGCATCCAACCCTCTCCCTTTCAGAGGAGAAAAGCGAAGGCCCAGTGTTGTCCGGAGAGTACTCAGGGACTAGGATTCCTGCTAGGCCTTCCTTGGTGGCCTATGTAGAGCTGCAGAAGGAGGAGGGGTTGACCTTCCAGGCCCATTGAAGAGGCAAGGAGGGGGTTCAGACCCGCAGTGGTCGGACTCCTTCAGTTCTGTTGCACAAATCTGAGAAATGCGACCTTAGGCAAATTCCCCCAGCCACAGCCCCTCACTGGATTGGGTCGAGTGGTCTTGGTGGTACCAGGGCTGCAAGTTTCAGGGAGTACAGCTCCCTCCCGGCGCACATGGGACACCCAACCTCTGGCCACCAGTGCGTCAGTGAGGCAACTGGGCCTCAAACAAGCCTCAAACAAGCGCATCTGGATTCCAGTGCAGCGTGGGCAGGTGGGAGCGGAGTTTAGTCGTTGCCTGCGCTGCTGTGCTCCTTGGTGGGACGGGACCAGCGACAATCAATCGCAGCGCCAGACAAGCCATAAAGCCAGTCAAGAGGAGCTGACAGCGCCACTAGTGTGGGGGCGGAGGAGGCTCTGAGACCCAGCGGAAGCTCCAGGCGGGTCCCGGGAGGAGCGAAGGCGCTTGCTGAGGCCGAGGGCTGCTCTAGGACCGGAGGCCGCGAGCGGCCGGCACCCGCAGGGCCGCGACTCCAGGTCAGGCAAAGGGCCCCAGGAGGTGACGCGTTCTGGACTGAGCGCGCCGGGCCGAGCTTCCAGGAGCCGGATCCACTTGCCACGCTCCGCCCGGGCATCGGGCGCCAAGGCCTCTCTCTCTCTCTGCAGCGCGGCCCCTCACTTCAGTCCCGCTGCATGGGGGAGGGACAGTCCCCTTGTCCCTGTGCCTTCTTTCTTTCTCACACAAATCTCAACTCTGCTCCAAGGTCCTGGGAGACAAAACGCGGAGAAGGCGCCTGCGGCCGAGCCGGGGGTGCTCTTCCCGGAGCCCCCAGGCCCGCTGTCAAGGGAGAGAGCCGGTCAGGCGTCTCTCGAGAGCGGTGGCGCTGGGAGAGGGGAGAAGCACCGCCGGGGACCCCCGGGAGGGGAAGAGCAACGGTTGGCAGCCGCGAAGGCTGGGTCCAGGAGGCGTCCCGAGGTGGCGTGCAGTAGGGGAGACTGGGGGAGGGCTGGCGGAAGGGCCTGGGCGGGAGCTAGGGGGCCGCACCCCGACCTGCGGGACCGGGTTCAGAGCAGGTCCTGCTCCGGGCGGGTGCACCGGGAGCAGGGCTCGCGGCTGGCGGGAAAGCTAAGTGGCGGGCGGGAACTCCGCGCGGGTCCCGGCACCGCCTGGACAGTCGCGCGCACAGCCGGGGCGCACGCCCAGCCGCCCGGCTCTTCGCTTTTTGAATAGTAAAGCTTCCTGGGGGTCGTTCCCGCCCCTACCCGGGATTCTCCTGGAGGGTCACCAGCCGGGCCTTGTAGGGCTAAGGCAAGACGTGAGGTCCCAGGCGGGCAACTTTTTCCACTGCCGAGTCGGAGGCCAGGCAGGCGTCTCTTGGAGCCGAAGGACGCGCTCTAGTGCCTACCCGAAAGCGAGGTCTGAGCGGAGCCGGCCCGGAGCGGCCCAGACGCTGGCCTCCCAGCCTGGAGCGGGCCCCCTGCCGGGTCCTCCCCTTGGAGCTCCAGGGTCGGAGAAACCAGGCGCCTCCTCCGGTTCGGTTGCCTGATTTCGTCTGCGCGCCAGGAACCCCCTGTTCCAGAAGTGACAGCAGGGGAGAAGAAGCTCAAGAAACACACCCTGGTCCCACCTAGTCAGCAGTGGGGACCCGGTGACGCCCCCGCTCCAGAGCCTGGCCAGGCCTGCCGGAGGCTCAGGTGCCGCGCAGCCTGGGCGGGAGCTCCAAGCCCGAGGAAGCTTCTCCTGCCACCTCCCCCGCCCAACTTGGTGAGGTAAGGGGGCAGGGACTTCCGCGGGTGGGGCAGAAAGGTGACGACAGCCACCAGGCAAGCGCTCGCTGCGCAGTCTGCAGGGCTCCGGGTCACTTCCAACTCCCTGCAGGAAGGCCGGAGTCCCCTCGGTAGGTGCAGGAGGCAGGGCCAGAGGTTTCGCAAAGGCAGGGCCTCCCACTGGGTCCTGACTGCTGAGGGAGTCTCTCACTGCTGTCGCTTCGCACGTTCGAATTGTCCTAGTTGTCACTCAGTGTCGCTGTACTGCCTACTTCTGAAATGGGTTCCGGAGGGTTGGGGTGGAGGCGAGGTGCTGTGGACCCTGTGCCCAGCATGTGACTCCCCCCTAAGAAGGCCATTCCGAAGGGGCAGAATGGGCAGTGGTGGCCTCGTCCCTCAGGCACTACCCCCCTGGGAAAAGCCAGGGCGATGAGGGGGGGGCTTCTGCAGAGGAGGACTTCACAGGGAGGAGCTGCTCTGAGGAAGGGTGATCTACTCACCGAGAGGCAGAAACCCAGGTGGCAAGAGGCCCACAATGAGCGATGGAGGGGACAGATTCAGAGAGGGCACTGGAAGAAGTTTAGAAACCCTTCAACCTGTTGATTTCCTTTTAATGCAAACTCGGTAGTTATATGTGATAAAAACCTGTGTCCTAGCAACCCAAAAACTGATCTCTGAGTAAGTGTGAAATAAAAAGTCCAGGTCATCTGAAGGTAGCAGTTCATTTCATTGGCAACATTTTAAGAATAATGCTCAGGAAATGCTTGCGATCTGGACATCCATGCGCTGCAGCTATGCAGACATTTACCCACCGTCCTGCGCTCCTTCACAGCGTCTGCTGGATGCAGCAGGCAGCTCCCAGTGTTGGGGACACAGCCCTCACCCCATCCGGTAAGAATTATGAGAATTAGGTTGCAGGTTTGCTAGAGATTCGTCATCCCATTTGCAGATGGAGAGA